CAACCTGACCCGACACAGGTGCCTTCCAGGAGATCCTGACTCATATAAGTGAAAAACTCAAATTGCTTCTGGGACCAGGCAGGTAACTAGAGTAGAACTTCCTTATATTGGGGTTTCTTGGCTGTAGTAATTATGACTCTATATCAACAGAACCTTATCAGAACCACTGGTGGAATTGAACTTTTAGTGAGTAGTCAAGTACTTATACTATCCTACTTGTTGTGCATGGGTAGCCCACTGGAAGTCAGTGGTCAAATCCAACATGGGTTTTTTTTTAAACAAATAGTTCTGTCTGTTTGTTTTTCAAAATATTATAGAATGTGTAAGGTACACAAACCATCGATACATATAAAGGCATCAATACCCATGTACTTACTACCTACTTTAAATGCTGCCCCATACCTAAAACCCCTTCTGTTGTGTTACTCTGAAAACCTTCTAATTATTTCACTCTTCCTTCTGTCCTGAACTTGTTTCGTATTTCCATGCTTTACTTGATAAAAATTTTCAGTATGTTTATACCATGTTTTCATACAAATAATGCATGCATTATCTTGTTGCTTTCTTAGCAAACCACATGACCCCTCTTACACAGCAATCTCTTCTGCACATTATGAGTGTTATATGCATATACACAATATTTAGGTGGGTGTGTTGTATATGAAAAATATGCTAACCCTAAGGATTACATCAATTTGTTACAGATGCATTTTTTATTTGTTTGAGATGAACGTGTAGCTAAAGACTTCAAATCTATTTTAATTTTACTTTTCTTGTTAGATTTTTAAAACAATATAAATGGTGTTATACTATATGTCTTTGTTGTTTTACAGCTGAAACCTACTTGACAACATCTGACCACACGGTGACAAAACATACACCACTGTCAGTTTATTTGGCTTGTCTCTCTCGCCCACCCCCACCCCACAGGAGTAGCTTGTATTTCTGGACGTTCTGTGGAACATACTTCAAGAAACACTGAAGCGGTAGGTTATAATAACGACTTGTCCTTTGGTTAGGCTGTATGCCTCAAGGTGAGTGCTCAAGTCAGTCTATATCTTCGTCTTCCTTCATTGCCACATCTCAAATGCAAACTCATTTCAAAGTTTTGGTGCTGAAGAATAGAGGAAATAAATGTTCTCATAGAACTCCACTTCAACGTACTCCAGCCAATCGCTTAATACATTATAATAGAGAGCAATAATAGCAAACAAATAGGAGGTTACAATGACCTTTTTGGTTTTAACTTGAGGTACTTTTTTGTGGACTTTTTTTTTTTTGAGTACTCTTAGGACTCATTTTAAAATGACAACCTGCTCCATAGTCACTCTGATGACATTAAATGTACAGTGGACAGTTTTCTGTTTTAGGTAATCCCTTTGAAAATGCACTAGAGGTTGATGTGCACTCTTGCTTCTTTGACTCGAGACACACATTGTACCATGGACACTGCTGTGGAAGTGCAGAGAAAGAAGTCAGGTAACTGCTGGCTGACTTACAAGGGTTGAACATTTATGGGAACAGGTTCTCTTTTCATTGGAGCACATGCATCCCACTTGGGGAATTAAGACAATTGTTACTCAAGTAATTTTTGCCTGTGTTGTGTGACTCAGATAAGAAAGCTTGGTTAAAGGGTGGCAAGGCTCTACCAT